TTGAACTGGCCGGCTCCTTCCAAATATTACAAAAAGTGTTCGACCGTTAATGGTTACGGTTTTAGAAAGAAACGGGGCAATAACAGCGAATAAGTGATAACGCAACCCTGAAATTACGTTCACGCTTTTCCACTCGAGTACAATGGTCTGTCGACGGCTGCACGCAAACGGCTCTTGACAAGCGTAGTCGCAGTACTAACGAGAATCCGCCATATTTGTGTGAAACATTGTGATTACATCAGTTAACAACAACGGAAGATAACAGAAATGACTCGATTATCCATAAAAACGTCGCCCATAAGAAACGTACGCAACGCGAGTTCATGTACACGAAAACATACCAAAGAGAGTACTCTAATGCATTTGCGAGCTGCCTTTTAAAAAACGTACGTGTAGTGTGATGGTGTCACGATACGATCATAGTGACGACAAGCCATTATTCGATCAAACGGATACACGTGTCTAAATGTTCTAATTAATGTATACGCTCATTTATGTTACAATGGATTCGAATGTGAAGTTCGTTCATTAAAAACCCATCGCGTTCTACTATTCGTCATAATTATTGCTTCTCCGTGACACTTAACAACGACCCTCTTGCCGACCGAAACGTTTTAAGTTATTGTACACACAAGTAGACGGAGGTTGTTTGATACTTTTCTATCGTTGCGTCGTCATACGCTATTAACGTTGTAAAAGTCTCTGACCCTTTGGTCTCGTATCAAACAACCCCTAAAACAAATCGCCTTCACTCACCCTCGTACGCGTATCTGCATTGTCGCTGTAGTCCGGGGTGGTCGCCAAATTTTGCTCGACGATAACGCTAATCATATTTTACTACAACAACTGTCCCCTGTTTATGTTGTATCATTATTTGCTTTTACATGTTTGTTTGTGTTTGATTACAGATACAAATTTTCTATATTATATTCTTAAATGGATTGGACCACCCGGTAGTGGAACACTATATCCACGCAACAGTTGCCAACTTCTAGTGGCTCGACTTCTCCCCTTATTTAGAAAACTGACTGTTTTTTGGTTTTAGCTTTTATGCGTTCCCATTATATTGTTTGCTTAATCAAATTGAATGTTTGAATTTAAACGTTAGTTAGATGTAATTCGCGAGGCAATAACAATGAACCATTTTTATATCGCGTAAAGCCACTAGCTTAGTTATGGGTAATTTTTTTGTTTCATTACGAGATTTATTCAATACTCATTGTGTAGTTAAACGCAAATATCGTCATATTTATTTAAACTATATCATTTTGAGCTATACAGAGTACGAATGAATAGTTTTTGTACAAGCTGTATACTGTTACATTGTATGCTATCAAGACGTATGATATGGTGGACATTTTTTGGGATTACTGCTTTTCTCATTTACTGAGGAAATATTTGACTTTTTTCTTTAGGGATACCTTAAATTTCTCGTGTATAAAGGGAAGCTATGGAACATTTGAAAATAATAATACAATTTTCTACATAAGTTGAATGGAAATTTCCGAGAAAAGCTTCAAACGAGATGTTTGAATAATAAAATGTTCATCACTTCAAGGATATCATCAACCACAGGTTTAATTAAAAAAATCTTAAATGACATTTATAAATGTATTTTTCTACTTAAATATCATTTTCTATCAAAAATTAATAGTGTCCCGCTTATTTTTAAAAATGTTACTTCAGCATCTATATAAAAAAAATAAAAACTGATTGTTTGCATACGTCAATCAGTAGACGCGTACGAGGTGATCCTTTGAACTTTCGATTTCTTTTAAATAACAATTATATCGAGAAAATTGACTTCGGTATTTTTTTAATTTCGTATATTTGTCGATTTATCAGTTTTTAATTTATCCCTCACAGCGTATATGGGTGTCAATCAAACAATTCGAAAATTCCATAGGTCTTATGAGACATATAAATTTTCCAATTGTTTTCTCATGTTTTAAACAGGGTTTTTAAAACATGTTTTGAAGAACCCTACAATGTGTAAATAATCAGTTTTAGTAAAAAAATCAATCACTTTAAACTGTTATATTTTTGCCCTAATGCAACTTCAGATAGTTTGTATGTAGCGAATATATAGAAAGCAGGGGAGGTGAGTTGCGCCGAGGCTCGAGATATGATGACAGGGGTAAACACTAATCAGTTTACGAAACAATTTGCTTGGCCGTTGATGCGTACTGCACATCCCGTTAGATAATATACAATTTCCTCATAATTGAGTTGTTCGAGACTACCGGTTTATGAAGAGCCCTTCAAATGCAGCCCTCGGAGTACACTTGAAAATATGAAATTATTACCAAATGAGAAGGAGATAATATTGTGTAGAAAAATAGGACCACAGATCCAATAAAGTAGAAAGCAAAAGTACTTTTGAGACGTTTGAAAAATGTCTATAACGATTGTTTTTTTTTTTTTTCTAATACAATTAAATGATAAATCAATTATTTGTTCAGTTGTTTACGCATATTTTAATCTTTGAATAAAATCGTCGTGTTCGTTGAAATTTATTAAAAAATTATAAGCACACGAGTTAATTCTAAATCGATTTATTAATATTATCGGCAGTATTATGTTTTAACGTAGAAAATGAATTTTTAAAGCGCATTTCATACTATTGTAAATAAGTCGACATTGCTGTTTTTTTAACTACAAATTCGATCATTAAAACTTATTGGAAATAATATTTTTTCCTATGCATTTGCATATGTTGTCCATTGTTTTGATGTTTACGTATAGAAAACATCAGTTTCGATAATATCCACTCGACAGCTCTCAAGGTTTATATTACACAGCTAAATAAAGTGTTGCCGTTTAATAAAACACAGAGCACACACGTGGCGAAGATTAATAGCTTGTGGTTTTGTCGGGGAAATTTATGACCAAAAAGGCTGCCGCAAAAAAGGTGGCACGCGACCCGATACCGAAAATGTATGTGTGCAAACGACGTCATTAGAAAGCCGCCATCCGGGAAAAATGATAAATAAAGAAAACACGAAAATGTGTTAAGTCACGGTCGATTTGCCGTATACTTAGACCTACGACGACTCTAAAAACTGCAATAACAATTATTGGAACGTATCTGTCATGGCCCATTTGATGACCAAGAGGTTTGTTCCTTTGAACGCTGTAAGGGCCGAAACACGGCAACGATGTCGACGAAATGCGTATCAGTCAGAACATTTAGACTGTTAAATTTTAATTTTGGACTAGTGTTGAATGTATTTTATCATATAATGTATTTCTAACCAAATAACGATGAAATAAAACGTGTGAAATCTCATTTCAACCGTAAAATATTACTCTTAGCATGCAATTATTAGAATTGATAAACACATTACAGAGTACTCAATCCACATGAGACATACTGGAGCCAATAGATCTGAGTGCTGAAATTCACAAGCAATTATAACTATGAGGTGTGTAATTTACATTGTCAATCGACAAAACGATTATTTAAAATTACGGTTGTGGTTTATGAAACCGTTCAGGAATATTACATTTTTAGAAAACTAGGTTTTTAAGAAATTCTTACACTAAGACCAAATAAGCTAGAAAAGTATTATTTTGCTGCTATTCCCCAAAAATTAGTAGTAATTTTTAGAAATGTTCAGTAGAGTAATGTCAAATAAACAATTTTAATGGTTTACATTTACAAATTGTCATTTTTGACAACAAACAAATCATTACAATCGTCTCGTAATTTTAAGGCACACGATAGAAAACACTTTTAATGCAAATCATAAACAATCTTGATCGCCCAATTTTGTTACTAATCAGATTTTAGATAAAAGTCAAACATTTGTATTTTGATATTTGAATGATAATAATAGATAATAAAATTAAAATGAATTTTAAAAAAAAATGTATTTCTTTTTCAATAAACAAATAACTTTATTATATATTATAAAATTTTCATTGTTTCAAAAATTATTAAAAAAAAGAAAAGTTACGTAAAATATTGTCGAGATCAAAAGTTATTTAAGATGACACAACATAATGTATTGTTGTTATAACTCAACGATTGTCTTTAAATACTGTTATTATTTGTAAATAGCAATTTTTAGAAATGAAGCAACGACTAGACTATAAAAATTATTCAATTCCATACAAACAATTTAAAATTAAAAATATATTTAAATTAATACTTTTAATTTTAAATAGTGATCAATTCCTGCAATGTACTAAACAATTCGAAAATTGTACAACGCATATACATTAAAAAATATAAGATTATTGTTAATTACATTTCCCACGTTAAATATGTTTTCCTCGTGTGAAATGTTGGTAGTTTGATGCGAAATAAAATGAACCACCTGTCAATGTTTTGCTGAGCTTACACCCGGTAAAAGGTACCGCCATAAGCCATGTACCACCTAACAATAAAAGAGATTATATCCACAATAATAATTATTTTTTACCTTTGTATGAAGAACAGATTTTCGTGCATTAGTTGTCTTGCCGACAAAATCGCTGTCTCTTAGATTGTGGTAACGAGGGCGACATTTGTATCAACGTTGCGTCCTAATGCGTGCGGTTTTAACACTATATCTGTAGGATTTATTTTTTGGAGTTTTTTTTTTTAACATTCATTGTAAATTTTATGTTTACATACATTTTTTTAAAAACACGTAAGCAAACGTAATAGATCCTATTGATCAAAATTAATGGGAAAAATCTTACAAATTTAATTTTGAAGAGTTTATTAAAACCTTTAAAAATAATTTTCGTTTTATGGATCATTTAGTTTTTTCATATTTTTAATTAGAATAAAAGTGCCGAAAATTTAAAAACTATTTTTATTGCATCAAATTAATCTATATTCATCAAAAATACTATGAAAAAAAGAACCGAATTGAGGTAAAGTTTTTTGAGGTTTGAGTGATTTCATTCAAAATATAATAGAATGAACCAAAAAATAGCAATAAAAAATTAAATAACTAATGTCTAAGATTTCGTTCAAGGTGATAAAAAAAAACTTAAGCCAGTTCTTGTTATACCCATTTTATAGATTTTTTAATTATTTATTGTTTCGATACATACAAATATCATTTTATATAGAAGCCATTGTTGTAAATAATTATACAAAATTTGAATACTTAAAAAATATAGTGTTATAAGAGTTCTGTTATTTGTATCAAACTAGCCGAACATAAAACGGTTGATATTTTATTTCGCCTTCTTTTAATACTTCATAGGAATAATAAGTGATGTCATTTGATTGATTTTGTACTTCTCGAAATTTATACGTTCCTTTAAATATTCCTGATATATCTATGTAGTGCATTGTGCATACATTTTCAATACACCCTCCCTCTTGATGCCAAAATTCTTTATTATTTTGAGTAAAGTTAATTATAGCCAATGCACGACATTTCCATAGTACATTACCATTACACATTTTAACTACGTCTAAAAGTATATTTAAACATTATCATACAATTATTTATTTTAAGTTAATTCATAATGTAAAATAATTAGTTGTGAGTCAAAATGTATACATTATTTATAAGATATGTTGTTGGAAACAGCAAATCTTTTGCTCATAGGTATAATATTATAAAGTTTATAAACAATAAACAAATAAATATTATTCTATAGTATAATTATTATTTCTTTATATCAAATTATGATATAGCATAGACTTTATAAGTACAATGTGTTATTAGTAAGTAGTAAAACAATAAATTCCTCCGATGTAATTTTCAATTTAAATTAAACATTTTTTATTGTATTTTCAATGTAATCAATAACATGAAAAAAATTGGCTCCCATTTTTCAAAGAAAAATACTCATTTTTGTTGATTAAGATAGATTATTATATGAAATAGGGATTTCCATAAAAAAATTATGTTTGTATAAAGCATGCAATTTCAAATAGAAAGTTGATTTTTCCCACTATTATATATGTGCCAGTCTCTGCCTAACTAAAGCCATTTCCCAAACAAGACAGCGCACTATTTAATGTAAAAATAAGTTTAAATTATAACCTCTGATCACTTCATTTGTTAACTAAATTTCTCTACTTCAATGAAACTCTGATCAAAAATTATTTTGTTCAAGTGATTTTATTTTTTAGGTAGAATATAAAACAATCTACGATTGAAAAAAAAATGAATGTGTTTAGTACACATTTAATCAACTATTTATCGTACTAATAACTATATAGCGAAGGTATTACTTACCATGTTTCATATACATTAAGTGTGATGCCATTTTTTTAATTAGATCATATCGTTTATTGACTTCACTTTCATAATTAATCATACCTAAATAATGTAAATACGTAGCAAAATTTTATTACAATTATAAACAATTTCTGTAGGGTAATTTATTTTCTATGATATTATTAATAATATCATACAAAAAATAATTTAAATTTTCCTCTTGTCTAAAATATTTAAGTGAAATTTCAACGTTGACATCGAATCTGATTTTAGATTTTTCCATCACGTATAGTTTTTTAGATAATTAGAATAACCCGAGGTAAAAGTGCTTTTTTTTGTATATGATATACAGAAAAAAAATGTATCCTGTCGTATATAGTAGTTATAAACAATTTCAAAAACTATCAAAAAATAAAAGTTAATAAGGAATAATAGTGAGATTTGAACTTTTTTAATGAGTAATAAACTGAAGTAAAATGAAAAATAAAAGCGTACTTCTAACTTATAAATGAGATCAAATTCCAATTAGTATTGAGTAAATTTTAATGAGTAAATTAATAAATTTCAACTATTTAATTACTAATTTTTTACCCGAAAAAATAAAAATAATGCTAAATTTTATTAAATTTAGTAATTTTAAAATTTAACATCATAATACTTTATGTTAAAAAGAGTTAGCCGCTTAAGAATACATTTTTTTTCTCAAAAAATTATGTTATTCAAACTTAAAAAAATAATGTATAACACTTATTTATTTTGAAATAAGTACGAAATGTATTTTTTAAGAACTGGGTTGGACTTTTACACTAAATCAATATTTTTTTGTAAAATTACATAACAAAAGTTGTGTGCAAAAATAAAATTGTCATTTCTGAAAATTGATTAACAAAAGTGTTCTATATCCAATTAAGAAATTTAAGTCTTATAAAATTGTTTTATAAACTTGATTTTTTTTTTTTTTTTTTAAAAAAGAAATATCTCAGAAGTACGATAAATATTTATAATTTTGTAACTACTAAAAAATATATAAAAATAATCCATTATTTTTGATACTTATACACCAATTTGTTCATAATTATAATATTATATTATTTATTTCTATATTGGACTTCTACCCGCAGTGCATTCTACTGATTAGTATTTGAATAATTAAAAAAACTGAAATATATATGTTTTTTAATTGTCTAATATAATTTTAAAATATTCAAATTATTACCTTCAATATATTGATATTTATTTATGTCTATGGATACTAAAAAAAAAAAGAAGATTTTCAACAACAAAGTTATACATAATGTTCTACCAAGTTTAATAACTTTTATTATTATTTTATTAAAGCAAATGTATTGTGTTACTTTTTTTTTGAAAAGTTTTAGACTATATTTTTTACTTTTTTGAAATTTAAAAATTCTAAGTTTTTGGCTTATTTCTTATAAAAAAACATTGATGGGTTGATAACTGCTTTAGGATAAGTACATCAATACTATCCTAATAACATACAATTTTTGGAACCAAACTAAAATTTCCATCTATGTACATTTTGCTAACTTCGGAAAGATATTTTAAACCACCACTTTTAGAAAAAATAAAGATTCTTTCAGATTGTATTCCGCTAACCTAAATCAGAAACCTGATAAAATTTTCTAAATAATTGACACAATATCTTTAAGCAATTTTATACGTATTTTATAATTTATTTTAGTTTTTAATTCATTGTAATATTTTATACTTTTATGTATCTGTTTTGGATAATATATAAAAATTTTAATAGGGTTTTCTAAACATAATAAGCTTTATTTGTTTATAATTTTCTTGAAAATTCAATGAAAAACATCAAAACAGAAAGGGTTTGAAAGGACCATTCATGTAAGTAAAAACAATTTTTATCGATTCAATATTTGAAAATGTTTCAGAATGCCTGCCCTATTTTAACTTACATAAAATTTAAACTCTTTTTCAATGAGAGACTCCCTGAAATTTAATTAAAAATATCACTATACACACTCAAAACCATTTGTTTTAATGTAATGAATTAAAATCATAAAAATAGTGTAGAGCTATAATGGGTTTTTTTTTTTAAACTAGACTAAATTTTTGGAGATATAGAAGCCGATATAGTACCATTTTTACCGTCAACTTATACATTGCTCAAAAACTGAATTTAAAATAAGTTATTAGACATTAAACATTCATGGCAAATGAATACTTGAATAACTTTTTTCAAGTAAAAGTACTCAACCTACAATATACCTTATATATTATTCTAACATCTACCTACAATTGGTTTTAATATATTATTTTATATATACATAGAGTGTTCAGTAAGTAAGGAAAAGGATTTTTATTGTTCTCAATGTTTATAACAATTGACCTCTTCCCTTACTTTTTGTACAATCTGTATAACAAAAATTGAACTCAACATAATTTTCCAAACGATTAGCATAAAGAAATAATAATATCTATACCAAAACCAAACAAAGATAAATTTGATTCTTCAAACAATATCTATGATTAACAATTTAAGTAAACCACTAGAGTAAATGGTGATCGACAGAAGTAAATGGCTCCTTGGAACTTACGATTTAATTAACAAAAACTAAATAAGCTTTTGGAAAAATCATAGTACGTATGAAATCATTATCTTTATACACACCGACTTATGTAAAGCTTTTGCACAAAAACAACGTATTTTTATGGTATCATTGATCATCAAGAGGCTGTGATAAGGTCTGGATCAATTATTAAATTGTTGTTAATATGTATAAGTATATTGTTAATCAAATAAAACAATTAATGTAAAGCTCCAAAACCAACTTTTCGTCAAAACCTAATAGAAAATGGTATACCGAATGTTCTGTCCTTAGTGTACTACTTTTTAAGATAAATATAATATATAAATAAGTAAAAAGATAAGAACAAAAAAACTGTCAATAATTAAAAAATCGGTCAAAATACTTATATTCACTGTCATGAAAAAAATATAAAAACCTCAGAATCTATTATACAAGATGTACTCAACAAAATTATTAGCCAATTTAATTTTTAACTATTTTTCATTGGTATTTTTTAGTTACATAATTCTCTTAATTTATCAGTCATAAACTATTTTTTTTATATTCATCCCTTATTCCTTTTAAGGGTGTCAATTATATTTTTTACTGGCAACATCCATAACTAATCTAGCTTACTGTTTAAAAAAATGACTATTCGATGGCAACTTTTGACCCATTATTTCAAAAATTAAGTGGTAGTTATGTTGTTTTTAATATTACGAATTACTCTGTCGCGCTTTTCTTCTACTCTATATTTTAAAATGTTAATGTTCTGAGGTTTTATTTCGAAAATTGTTGTCTACCAGTCATTTTCTTAATTAGATGTTTTTTATTTTATTAGCTATTAAAATATGTATGTTGTCATATAACAAAATAATGTTGAAACCTTTAAAGGTACAAGGGATGAAAATAAAAATCAATCAAGTTGAGACAGTATTGTATTTCCCTCAACGTGCGGTTGTCGCATTATAAACCTACATGGAAATAAAAATATGAAAATTTATTTTATATTATAAAATATCAATAGTTACCGAATTAAAATGCATTTAGTTAAATATTTATATACGTTTATACGGAATAAGGGATAGAAAAGAAAATATACTAAATACTTCATAAACTTTGATAAATTTAAGAAACCAAACAAAAATGTATCCACATTATTTTTACATTTTATTAATAAAGTAGTTTAAGATAAATGTAATCTTAAAAATAAATCTTCCTGTACACTTATAATGTGATTGATTTATTCTTAAAAAAAAAAAAATTTTAATTTATGTCAACAATATTATAATAAAACAGACGAAATGAATAGTCAATTATACAGTTTTTTCATCACATTATTCTAATATAATAAAAAATTAATTTTATTTATAAAATAAAAATATTTTGTATTAAATAAATTGCTTACTAAAATTATCTGTGAAGTAATCGTCTAAAATACTTCGTAATTTATCTTCATTGTTGCATATACTACAATTGAACTTCTCTAAAAAGTTAAATTTAAAAATGATTATTAATTTTAAATAAATTTAACAAATGAGTAACAAATAAAATTAACCTTTTCTGATGTTTCCACTTTTAATTATGTAATTCACCCAATTATAAAAATTAAAAACAATATAAAGCTCCAATATATTTTTTTTGGGATTTGTTTTTTTCCTAAATAAAATGCAGTTACTATTAGGATTTATTTTAATTTATACTTAAACATTTATACTTGAATTTAAGAAATTATTAATTAAAATGGATTCAATAAAATTTTTTCAGTTTCAATGCGATCGGAGAATGCATTAATTTTACAATCTAAGTATTTTTTGATTACGCCTATAGTCACTATTTTTTTCTTTAAACCGAACCAACAACTTTTAACAACATGTCATAAGATCATAAATAGTATTTAGTTGAAAATATTCCCTATTTCCATGTAAACGAGAGAAATTCCCAAAAAATTACGATTTTTTAAATCGACAAATTTTGACTTTTGTTTTAATTTTTTGCTCTTAAAATGTCATAATTTTTTAAATAATGAATGAATTAAAATAACTTTTTTTTTACAAACACCTTAGGTATCTTATTTTTATTTGATGATAATTTTTTGAAAATGTGACTCTTTACCTGGCCATAGGAGATATTCATAATAGCAACTTTTACACGAAAAGTTAAATTTTATATTTAATATTAATATTTAACAACTTAATATTTAAAAATATTCCGGATATACTACGTCTTCGAAACATATATTAAATTAAGGATATATTACATATTATAAGTAAAAAAAAAAAGTTGTCCCGATCTTCTATATGTAAATGACGCCGTAGTAAAAAAACAATAATTTTTTTGTCTTTAATTTTGTTTTTTCAACTTTAAATTACCATAAAATATAAAAAAATGTATGTATTAATAGAATTATTTTTTTTGTAAGTACTATATACATAACCCATCTATCCGATATACTATTTTTATTTTCATTTAAAATATCATATACAACACAAATAAAGCTCCAAAACCAACATTATTTCGGATGTTATAACTTTTTTTAAAAATATAGAGTAGAGGTGAGGTGTGGGTTATGTTGTGTTATACTACCTCTTATCATATCTTTACCTTTTTATCTACAAAACAATAAACTCTATCATATTGTAACATTGTCGATATCATCGGTTAACCAATAAATAATATATTATATGTATAATAAACTCTCATATAAATAAAAAAATGTACACAAAAATAGTAAAAGTTATAAAAAATATATCAATATTGTAATGCAATAATGAATCGTTGCCAAAAATCGTGTTTTAATTTTATAAAATGATATGTAATTAATTCAAGCAAATCAATTTAATAAAGTATATTATTTAATAATAATAGCGTTGCTGATCCTCTTTGCATACGAATGAAACTATACAATTAATAAAATATGAATATAAAATGGAACCAAAAAGGCTTAAAACTGTCAGTATTTTCTTTCAGTATACTCGGGCAGTATATTCTCGCAACTTATCGATTTCACTTATCTAATTTATGTGCAAGAAGTTAACGGTTACATTTAAGTTTAATTCAAATAAACAAGACGACTTATATTGATTTCTAAACACTCATTGGAATCATCAAGGGAGATACTAGTATTAACTAAAATAATAAGGTTTAAAATTAGTCATTTCTTATGAATACTTATTTTATGTAGGGACAAAGAAAGATTAAGTGACCACTAAAAATAAAATATTAATTAAAGTAAATCAACAATGTTTATACGGAGTTAATTAGCAGAGTTAGATCGTTGATACATGTCTATACTACAAGACAAGTTGGAGGTGCATAAACATATATATAGACACCCCACTACTCTGGGACATATATGGTGATTCCATCCCATCTATCATTGATAATCGCCAGTAATCGTTACATTATTGATATTAAAAAATGTGACAACTGATCACGATAATTTTTATATCAAGTATTTATATATATTATTATAACTATATACATATTTTTCTATCATTTTCTTTATTCTTATGAACCCTAGTATTCATACAACGAGAGATGTTATTAATAAAAACAACACAACAATTCTGGATACATTTATCTTTATTTTAGAGTTACTATAGTTGTTTTTATCATTTCGTAATACTATATTATGCTTTTTCTCCACTTTATATTTAAAAATGTTTATGTTCTGTAGTTCTAATTGAAAATTGTTTTCGACCTGTCATTTTCTTAATTAAATGATTTTTTATTTTATTAGCTACATAAATATACAGGATGGCCCACCACTCACTGACAACTTAAATAACTTTTGATCCAGTTAATATTTTTAGTTGATTTTTTTTTTAAATAATAGTTATACGTTAGGTCTATAGCTATATCTCAATAATTAATTTTTTTACATTTTATTAAAAATATTAATTATTTTAAAATTTTAAATAAAATGTAAAAAAAAAATCTAAGATAGCTATTTTGTAGAGTAGAATTTAAGAAAAATGTTAGTAAAAAAATATCTTAAAATATACTTTTGAATGAGAGTGATAATTAATAATTGCCTTATCTAATTTCTTATCATGGAATTAATGCCAAGTTTGTAATGTATACACATTATCATCATATGTATACACAGTAATCATGAAAAGATAGCGTTTTCTACTGTCCTTTTCTCAATACGTATTTCAATGTTTAATACCGTAAAATAGTACATGAAAATTCAAAATTTCACAAACTTCAAAACGCTACAGAATATTTACTACTGAATATTAATAAGATATTTTTTTACTAAAATTTTTCTTAAATTCTACTCTACAAAATAGCTATCTTAGATTTTTTTTTTACATTTTATTTAAAATTTAAAAATAAATAATATTTTTAATAAAATGTAAAAAAATTAATTATTGAGATATAGCTATGGACCTAACGTATAACTATTATTTAAAAAAAAAATCAACTAAAAATATTAACTGGATCAAAAGTTATTTAAGTTGTCATTGAGTGGTGGGCCACCCTGTATATGTTGTTTTTAAAAGAAATTAAATTCACTTAATTATACTTCACTTATACTGAGTAGTATAAGGGACGAATAAAAAAAATTAATAATTAATAAATCAATAAATTTATGAAACTAAAATACATTTTTTCTTTCTCATTATTATTTTAATAGTTATTGAATATTTAAAATTAAAAAAATCATTCCATCTACAACAACCTTTTATAATTTCTTCGAGAAAATTACAATACTAAATTTTATTCAATATCAATTTTAAACTAAATTTAATAACTATAATAAGAATTCATTCATTTATAAAACTTATAAATCATAAAACTTGTAGTCGGGATATAAATCCTAAAAAGAGATTAGGAGTTCGTGTTGATATATGACATAGAAGTTCATATTGCTAAACATATTGCTTCATATAATTTTGATAATAATAATACATTTATTATATATTGGATTATAACGAGGCCTTGGTTTATTGCAATTATACATTTTGAGCTTAATGAGTGTTATAATATACCCCACTAAAGTTTATAAACATATTCGACAAGAATTTATAAATTACTTATACGTTTAAAAATAGATAACTGACTTTAATACAAGTATAGTAACATTAAGATTTTTTTTCTTTACTTACGTAAACGATCATTGACTGTTGAAGAACTATTTTCTGGAAGAAAGTTAATTTGTTAAAAATTTTAACATTTCGATAATTTTTAGCTAGAATAAATTCTACAATTAAACTAATAAATAATTAACCTACAATTTAATACTTGATAATATTTTAGTGTTTACCAATTTTAATTACTATATTTAAAGTATATTATTTAAATTTTTTTCTTTTTTCTTATTAAATTTTTTAAAAATTTGGTTTATTGATATTTATTGTTAATGATAGATCACCAGGTGAGGTAGAAAAAATCTGTATCATTTACAAAATTTCACAATATGGTTTGTCATGTTCTCTACATTTTGTAATTGTGTCGTTTTAAATACAATATTTTGATGTTAATGATTATAACTATTATAATTATTCAATTCATTTATAACTTATACGTTATAATATTGTATTTTTAAATGGAAACATACACATATAACTAGTTTATAAAATTGAAAATTCAATTAATTTAAGTACTGGTTGACAACATTAATAAAAACACCTGGAATAACTAAATAAATGGTTGGATTAACCGAAAAATACCGTTATTCTAAGCATATTTCTTCATTGTTGTTATCGACCAATCAATTTTGTAATTAAGTAAAGTGGGTCCCTTTTAAGTGATAAGTAAAAAGATTAAAAAATATTTAACCACTCATAAATCGAGATATAAATACTCCGTATAATCATATTAAATTATAATTGAATAAATTTACCTAATTTGTAGTTAATTTCGGAAATATCTGAAAAAAAAACAATGAAAAATAAATAAAATGTGTGCAGGTGATTTTTGACGCACAAAGGATGCAAAGCTTCTTAACGGAAGTTGGGACGAGTGAACTGAAAAACAATTGAGAAATGAACAATACAGTTTTTAATTAAATATATTCATAATATAAATGTAAATAGACATGGTTTCACGCTTAACTTTTGTAAATGAAGTACCAAATATTTTAAAATAACAACTTTATATTGAAACGTTGTTATTAAAATTAATTCAATTAAGTCGACAGCTAATTAAATGATACAAATTAATTAATATAACCTATTAAAATATTTATATGACAAATTCAATATAACAAAAAGTAATATTTCAAAACATAGTTATTATTATTATGACATATAATATAAATTCTTCTATAGAAAATTTAAATAAATTAATAGATTTATATATTTATAAATATATCTATAACTATTAATAGTAACAAAATATGCTTATAAAAAATCGAATAATAAACTAATTATAACTATATAATCATAACTAATATAACTATTCAGTTATATTTCAAAGTGGATTGTTTTATGAGTGAAATTTAGTCTTTCTCATTTTTTTTGTTCTGCAATTATTCAATTTCTTTTACAATTATATACATTTATGTTAAACGTGCTGAGTCGAATTTTATTTTTATTTAGTACCCGTCCAACCTCAGTTAAAAAGCTTTACGTCAATAATCTCTAATGTATTAATTTTCTTCTAAAAAATATTATAGGTAACATTTATAGCAATAGCAAACCTATTCTCTATGATATCTTCGAGATTAAAAACGTCATTTTTTTATTTACTAGTAGTTGAATATATTCATTCAGCTATAACACAAACACTTTAAAAATACACATTAAAATTTCTAACAACTAAAATTACATTTCAATCGTAATTTGCTATTACTTGGCTGAATAAGTTATAATTCCTAGCTTAAATTTGTAGAAAAAATAGTAATAATTACATTTAAAAGCTTTCTCATATTAATTTAATACTCGACATTTTCGTAGACATTAAACTAAAATATAATACTCAATATATTTGTGTTATAACTTAACTGAGCACACTAATTTTGACTGTATGTTACAACTGATATATTACTAACCTGACGGAAATAATAATTCCTCAAATTGTTCTGAAATTTCAGTTAACATAAATTAGTTAAGAGAAATAAAAATTGTTATTACAACATCAAAAATTTTCACTGTAATTGTACAACCATACTAATTATATTGCAATAATAAGATCCAAATATTATTTTAACTACAAATAAATTATAAAATTTAAATAATGCAAAATATATTTTTAATATAAATAAATTTTAAGAATCAATAGAATGTTACGATGGGTTTGGTTAGATTTTATTTATTTAATTTAGTATTAAAATTAAATACGCGTTTATTTCAATTCATTTGAATGCTTTAGAAAGGAATTAAAAATTTTACAAAATTTCAACTAAAAATTATTCAGTTAAAATTGTTCAAACTCTATGAGTAATTTATTTTTTTCAATAAATCAAATTTTATTTTAAAATATGAAACATGTCCACATAAAAAAAAATAATTCTATACGATGAAAAATGTGTTTTTTAGTGTTAATGTATAAGAATAATATGCGTACAAGATATAAGTTAATTTGCCATAATCAAATATTGTTCATCGAGTTCTCTAGGCGTAGTTATTGATTCAATGCAATAGTTGTTAATAACTTAGCTTCAATAGTTTACTGAATTTCTAATAGGATTGGTGTAGCAACACTTCATCCTTTAAAAGTTTTACCATACAATGGAAAACAAAACCCAGAAATATTGTATTGATTTTGTAAACTCAATTTGTTGAAAAGTTTTTACTATATTATAATTAAAAACAATACACGGAATAACAATAACAAAATAATTGTTTTTTTCAAAACCTGTTATTTCCATTTTTAATATTTCAGGCGAGGCAAATTGAAAAAATAATGGCTCTCAACACAATAAAATAAATATTTTAGATTCATATTTAATGTTCTTTCTTTACATGTGTTAAAGAGGACGAAAAAATTCTATTGCTTGGATGAACAAAATCAAATTCGATATATATAGTAGAACAGATCTAACTGACAACTTTATAACTTTTAATACAATTTCGCATAGATTTTTTTTTTATAATTTAAGCATTCTTAGACAACGTTACATTTTTTTATTTCATTATTTGTTTGAAATAATGTAAAAACTCTGTTGTCCTTATGATTTTAAAATAGTTTTTGTATTTTTCTTGCAAAATTATTTAATATATAATAATAACAATTGTTGAAAAAGTAACTATTGAGTTGAAGCATTTTCATAGAGTGTGGGTCATTTAGGGTGGTAGGTACAGCTCATATTGGTGCATATTTAATATGCATACAACTCAAAAATTTTGTTCATAAGAAAAGTGATAACAACTAGTTATTAAAAATTTTGCAAAAATATAAAAATAAAAATTAATGTTTTATTATTTTAAAAATAAAAAATATTATTTTAACGTAGTCTAAAAATGTATAAATTATTTTTAAAAATCTTAATTGTATCAAAAGTTATAGGAGTTGTCAGTTAAATTTGTTTCACTTTGTATACGCCATAAACGTTTTGAAATTTACTTTCTCTTAAAAATATACCTAAATAATTCAGATTATATTTTTGATAAAAATGTTACATATTTTTAATACATAAATATAAGATCTAGGGCTATTTTTGCAATATGTGCCATTTTCACCATAATAGTTGATGTTTGACTCACTTTTTAAAAATGATATGTTTTCAAAAGTTAACCAGCAATTTTTATTTATGTTTTAATAATTATTCTTACTGTGTGTTGTTAAAGGTTCTAAGAAGTGTAACATATATGAAAAAATTTTGCTCTGCTCTGTAAATAATAAAATAATCAAATAAAAAATATAAAGGATTTACTGTAATATATTTTTATTTAGTTTATCAGATATTTATACATTTTTGTATATGATAAATATAATTAGTTTTAAATACTTTTATACTGTTATATTATTTTCTTGATTTATTTTTTTGGGTGTTAGAATTTCCCTTTATTCCCGAAATAAATTCAATATTTTAGACTTGCATTTATAATTTCACATCTCAAAAACACAGTATCATACGATTTTGTTTTTTAAAAATATTAGAAAATATTAATGTTATAATGGATATACTGTAAAAATTACACGAGTAAACATATATGATGATTATTATGCCTTAAATTATATACTATGTTGTTCTTTTAAATAAAGTAAAAATGAACATCTTGTCAGAAATCTATATCAAATGAATTATTTTACTGAATACAGAGTGATTCCTTAACTACGCCTTGCAAAATATGTTTAAAAATATTAATGCTAATCATTATCTTAATTTTAACAATATTGGTTCTTTGTTGTACTACTTTACACTAAAAATTAATTTTCTGTTACCATCTCTTGTACCCTACAATCGCTTTAACTTAGATTTGTAAATGGCGACTTTAATTTTTTTATATCATCAAATTTAATTAAATGAAAAAAAAATTTGTTTAAAAAAATTGTTTTATATTATTTCATATATTATTTCCAACTAAGTATATTGTTTTCTAATTACCCCTAAACTTTGCAGCAGAAACTCGTTGAAAATCATATTGGAGTTGCGAATTGNCATTAATTTTTTTATATCATCAAATTTAATTAAATGAAAAAAAAATTTGTTTAAAAAAATTGTTTTATATTATTTCATCTCCAACTAAGTATATTGTTTTCTAATTACCCCTAAACTTTGCAGCAGAAACTCGTTGAAAATCATATTGGAGTTGCGAATTGTAAATGAAAAGTTAATGAGTTTAAAGGATAAGCGACGGTAGCAGAAAATTAATTTTTCGATTAAATAAACGTAACAAAGACTATTTATTGTTAAAAAAATTAATTAACGATTAGCTCTAATATTTATGTTCTAAGCGTAGTTCAGGAATCTGTATGTATTTACAAAGATACTCTTGTTTGTTATATTATTTATGCGAAGAATATGTTACCTTCGACTGTTTGTGTTTCGAATATCGAATCTGAAAAAAAATAATTTTAAAGTTAACACAATTTTAATAACCTTATACTAATCTTCAAAGGCGTTCCTAAATATTTTTCTCATGAGGTGTCCGTAGACTTATTTTTCTATTATTGAAAACTTCTTATCTTTAATCATGACATAAAATTTTAGCAGGACGCTAAAATTTCAAGTATAAAAAACCTTTTTTTGCTCTTAATTTAAAAAAATAAATCTAAAATATGTGATTTATTTAGCGACTTGGTACAAAATTAAAGACTTGGCTATTTTGTATAATGGTGTGGGGTAATTCACCATCCACACAATCCCATAGGTTTACCTATGTTAATTGTTTATAAACAATAACTATAATTATAATTATTACATAATAATGTGCAAAGTTTAGAAAAGATTTATTTCCAGTGTTAATATAAAAATATGTTTTAAATATAAATATAAATATTATTTTTATTTAAATTTATTTATAAATCATTATTTTCTAAGATTGAATAATTAATTAATTAAAAATATTTAGGTACATACTAGTCCATTTAATTTGACGAGCTGATTCTGTAATTTGTATTCATTAAATTGAAAACTTATTAAATAACTCAATTTGTATTCATTACAAATAGTTTCTATACATAACACATCTTTATTATTAATAAAATGGCTGTTGTACCGAGACAATAGCTATTTTGTTGTTTGATACCTACGTGATTTCTACAACATAGAATTCACGTAGGTATCAAAATATATAAAATTCAATATTATTTAATTTCAACGACTCCCAAATCTGGCTTCAAATTTTCCCATGAAATCTAGTTATAGAGACAAGTATTATTTAGCAATTAAATCATTATAAAAAACTAAAAAAAAAAATGTATATAAATTTTTTAATATAATTTAATGATGTTCAAAAAGTAATATGAAAAATTTGGAGCTTATCCGTCATATTTAATTATAATTAAACTTGTCGGATAAGATCCAAATTAAAAAAAAATATTTTATAACCTTTAAATTTAAATATGATGGTATATTTATAAGACAAAAAAGATCAACTTTGTACTGTAACTATTTTTGAGTAAATTTCAAAGTTATTAAGTTGATATCAATAGATACATAATTTTATATAGTTTCATAATTATATTGGAGAAATAATATGGTGTCTTAGTATTTTTTATGGATTTTTGGGTTAAATATTTTTAATATTTTTTAGTTTAAATTAATATTTTAAATATATTTTTATTTTCCTAAATTATAACTATGATTTTTTTTTTAACACAGTTGTTTATGAATTTAAAAAAAAAATTAAACAGCCATATGTATATTTTTGTCGTTTAAATAATAGTATAATTTAGTGATAAAACTGGATTACACGGTTTTATAAATAATTGAAAAAATATTAAAAATAGGATCTTATATTTGGTATTTATTAAATGAACAAAAAAATTATTACCCTAAAATATATTATGCCCATATGTTTTTTTTAATATATTAGGTCTTTTGTGAGGCGTTAAGCATAATATTTGAATAAATTCAATTCTTCCTCATAAATATTAGTTTTAATAAATATGAAATTTTTGAATTGTAGTTAAGTCTAAGGTGAGTTCAAATACTAAGGCCTAAAAAATTGTCATTTTTTAATGGTATAAGTATCTCGATCACTGTACACTCTAATATTTTCAAGCATAATTAACTACACTAAGTCGTAAACACAGTAAATTATTATCAGGTAGAGCGCAAATGCTCGTATTAATTAGAAGAATTGATAATTATTTCAAACATTACTTCAATTTTTTTTGTATGTGTTAGTTTAAACACGAACGACAACTTATTTATAATTTAAACAAAAAACATAATTTCTTTTTAAGTTATATATTTATTTAATGATCTAATACGATATTTTAGGAAATTATTTAGCATAATATATACTCAAATATGAAAATATATTTCTGAATTAGAAAATTTTTTAACAATTACAGTAATTTTACATGTAGCCATCATTAAAAAAAAATTGTGATTATATTAACCTTATAAAACAAGTATAAAAAATGAAATTTTTATTAGGAATCACATACAAGAACAATATTTTAATTAAAAAAATTCAAAATTTACCTTCCAAATCATTATTAGTCATTTCATATTTTCCGTCCATTGCATAAACATTTGATATTAAGAAATAGGAAAAACAAACAAATATACTTTTTTGGCATATCATAATTATCTATAAATCAAATAAAAAAAAATTGATAATTCTTTATATAAGTTACAGAGGCTCCTAATAGCATATTAAAGCATAAATTATTACGAAATAAATTTTGCATAATTAGTCAGTTATTCAATAGAAAATTGAAAGTTACTTCAACATTGTTGATAAAACTTTATTTTTATTAAAGTAATAGAAATACTTACATTGAGCTACAGAAAAATGCGTTAAGTAAAATATTAAAAAAATATATATCAATTTAAAAAAAACTAGTGACGCGGTAATTTAATCGCTACTTATATAGTTCTTTTATAAATACTTTTATTTGAGTAATTAAAAGTTAATAAATATTTGTTCGAATATTATTTAAAGAATTCAAATGCAATGTATTAAAACAAAAATAAATTTTCTATTTAATAGGTATAATAATTGAATATTTTAACAAATCATCAATTTTTCTTAATTATTTAAATTCAAATAAATGAAATAATTTATGAAATCTATTTCTTGTTGATAATTTTAACAAAATTGGGTAATTAATAATATCTTTAAAAACTTAATTCTTATAAAATTATTGTATTCTTAAAATAATCTATATAAAAAAAATTAGAATCAATGGTTGAAAAGTCGTTCATTATAAATCAATGATAATTTCTAGTTATGTTTTCTTTCAATTAGATAACAAATTTTTATTGCTTTTTTTCAAATTTCAAACAACTCATAAATTGCTCTTTAAAATCACTGTATATTAAAGTACATAATTCTTTTATACATTTACATTCTTAGTACTAAACTGTTCTCTGATTCAAAAATATTAACAGTAACCAATTTAGGTAGATATCTACATATAAAAATATGAGATAAAAAATATAGTAATATCATTTATAAAGTATTCTACAAACCACAAATATATTAAAAACCGTGGTAGATTCTATTAATATAACAAATGTTTTATATATCACCTTAAAATTTTATTTCTATCACTTTATAACCCTTAATATAATAAGTCTTTTTGTTCTGACACGGTACCGTGTTTCCCTCAGCCGCACATTACGTTATCAACCTAAATGAAAGTGTATTGGGAGCTGAAACATAAGTGCACGGTGGCCTAGTGGTAAGGTTTGTCTATACGACGCCTTGGGTCGCGAGTTCTAATCCCGTACTGTGACTCCTTTTTCACATGATTTCCGGTACACTTTCTATAACCGGCCGTCAATCCCCGGCGGCCGTGTTAGTTCTATATGCAGTAATAAATTAATGACATGGTTTTTTAAGCTTACATTAAAGAATTAATTAATTAAACTTTTGAATAATCTAAAAACAAACAAATAACAATAGTTAGGTCACGATCGACCGTACTTCAAGTACTTTATATTATCACGGTCGTATCATAAAATTCTTATCATTTCATAGTTTAAGTTCTTTTACAATTATTATTTTTTAACTATTTTGACATTTTTACCATTCCAATAAATAATTTATTAAAGCTTTTCACTCTTCAATGCTCAATATTAGAGCGTCCCTCNATATATTTATTAAAGCTTTTCACTCTTCAATGCTCAATATTAGAGCGTCCCTCCGGCTTTTTGGAATTTGACTTAAAGGGGTCGCTAGATTGTACTTCAAATAAGAAGGGGGACATCTCCGTCCACCATCTTTTAACCACTGTAGTGACTATGTATTAAACGGTCTGTGTCAACTGTCTACTGAAGATATTTGGTTAAAAACTAGTTGCAAATATCTTCTAAATTTTTTATAGTGCTCGATCAAAGTTAAAATATGTTAATACATATTATTCATAATTTTATGGGAATTGTAAATTTAAAAATTTTGTTTTTAATTATCCGTTACATACTTATAGAGGCGTTGTTTAAATACAACATACATTATTCGAATTAGTTTGAGTCACATACTTGTAGAAACATTAATTTGTTAAATTATTTTAATTTAAATAATTGCAAAAAAAATTACATGATTATTTTCATTATTGCTGTTTACACTATGCTAATTATTGAGAATTTAACCAGTTATACTTTATCTAATATTATCAATTTTATAATTGTAGAAAAAAAATTACATTTTATTTATCCTAAAAATAAAATTCAAGTATCACTTAAAAAAATTGATTTAATTTTCAAAAAACACCGGCCTAAATAGACTTAAATTTCAAAATTGCTTACAAATTTAAATTCAATGAATTTCACAACTTATACACAGTGTCCCTATAAATTTTAGCATCTTAAATAACTTTTGATCTAGAGAATATTCTGCATTACTTTTTTTGTAAATAATAAATACAAATAAATAACACCACTAATTAGCCGATATTATGAAGAAATTAAAATCGATGGAAGACTCTCAAAATAATAAATATAAATCAAGAAACGATAAATTAATTAGTTAAGAAAAGTGAAATTAATATTCTTAATAATTCACTCAGTGATTTTCTGGCGACTATAAATTATTATAGGAATTAAAATTAAAAGTTAAAATATGAAATTAGTTGTTTGAACAACAAAATTACAACTTTCAAATCTACATGTAGAGCAAATAATACATTGTCGTCTGAAAATCTAATCAATGATGCATAAAAAAGATTGGTAAAAAATAAAAACGTCATTGTATTTAAAATAGAAGAATTGCTTAATGTGACAGATAATACATCTTTATTAGTTGCAAATGATATACTGACTAGTCTTGCTCTTAATTTAAACTTTGTCTAAGCTAAGCGCATTGTTAATGATGGCCGTCCAGATGGGCGGCAATTATTATTAGAATTTAATGTATTTGAATTAAGATTATTTTTGAAACTTAAATTTAAACTCTGTTCACTTGAGAAATAAAAAAATGTCTGGGTGAATACTGAATTGATCCAGCATCAACAAATTCAAATGAAATATTTAAGAAACGCTGTCCAACAAAAACATGCCGTGTGTGACAAAATCAATCATTAAATATGTCAATGGTGTGCTAATGTTAAAATAACCAATAAATCATATGCTCTGTAATCATAATCAATATTAATTTTGTAACAAATGTAAATTAAATAGTACTAGGACAATTATTATGATTAAGTGTAAATATTGTAATAAATTATTAATTGATAAAAGTAAATTGTTAAAAGGGTATTACCAAAGTGTAAGGGGACTACGTACTAAATTCTATATTTAAACTCGTAATATTCCTTTATTCAGTTATGATTATATTGTGTCTGTTAAATTTAGTTAATTGTTGATATCTTTGATGCCAATCTTGGGTTCGATTGCCATAATTTGTTCCATTTGGATCTAAGTGATAAGACGAGCATTAGTAGGAGAGGTGATGGAGTATCAATTATTGCGAATAAACGTTTTTAAGTCGAGATTATAAATATACAATCTAATGTCAAAAAATTATTTATACTGTATAATGGGATAATAATAATACAAGTATAACAGGTGCTTGTATATATCACCACATAGTCCAATGGCTTTCTATACAACACATGCTGAGACAGTTCAGTATCTATTAAATAAATACGTTTCTGATACGAACCTAATATTATACAGAAATTACAATTTACCTTAGGTTCCTTTTTTTTAGCAATTATATTGGCTTTACATGTAATGGAACAATTTCGGAACGTTTAGAAATAATTTTCGATTGTTATTTCATCGCTAAAACTATATTAATTAAATAATACTTTAAATGCATGAAGTCGTTTTAGTTATTTTAAACAACCCACATGTTAATGGAATGCCGCATGATAATATTATTGTTTTAATTGTTTGTGTTTCTTCTTATCGTAATTGCTCAAACTCTTGGTTGTATGATTTTAATAAAACAAATTAAGATTTAAAGAATTTTATGTTAACGTAACGTTAATGGTGCGTTAAATATTTTTGACGCAGTAGTGTTAAAAGCAATTGAACAAACAGTTCTAAAAACGTTAATCCGCAGTCATATGTTTTCTAAATGATTTTCTAAAAATTTGCGTTTGCTAGTTAAATGTTTTGCACATAAAACAGTTCAAGTTGTCCTGTATTTAGGCTGATTATGTAACGTTCTTTACGATAAAAAAAAAAGTAAAGCCATGTCTAAATTATTTTATGATAACTATTTGAAGCAAGTTCAATATTCTATAATTAGTAATCCTAAGTATTTCTGGAACTTTCGTAGGAATAAACAAAAATATAATATCATTCCATGTAATATAACCGATGGGGGGATATTGTTATGGAAAACATAAAGAACTGTTTACAGCCATCCAGAGGTGTCGTGGAGCGTATACGCGGGTATACGGCGTATACCCACTTCTTTGTTTTTCTGTTATTGCGTATACTTATAAAATCATGAGTGATACGCGGGTATACCCACTGTTAGTTTTCTTATTAGTGCATATACGTATTTATAAAATAGTTAAAGAGTATAGACTAAAGGATAAAATAAAAAGTAATACGTGGGTATCGAATATAGGTACGTTTGTCATAAAACACTAATTTTGAATAACTCTTATCAGTTTGTTTAATCTCTACAGTCATACCACATACAAACATATATCTGAAGTTATAAACACACAAATATGGCTCGAGACTATTATCATTTTAAAAATAGAATATAAATGTAAAAAAAAACACTGTCAAAGTGTATAAATAAATATCAATAAAATAAATAGGATAATGTTTATCATTTCACGACAATTTTATTGACATTTGACAAAATTTAAAACATCGACCAGAAATTAACGATATAGCACATACTAAGTTGAAACTGAAAGTTATTGGGTTAACCTATAGCTGTTGAAATTGGTAATTTGTATTTTTCCGTAATAAACCGTTTACCAACCAATCTAGTATTTAATATATTACCTATAATGAATTAAGATAGTACTAACATGTACCTATTCACGTTTATTTCATTTATGTTTTAACGATTTGAAAACAATGATTGTAAGATTATTTTATTACTGCATAAAGTTTATTGTTTATTTATAAAAAATATAACAGTATCTAATAATACACTTATCGATTGTATGACTATGAAATTTAATTTATGTAAGAACTTAAAAGTGTCAGTAAAAATATTCGAGTAATAGTTTGGAAGTTGGAAGGAGCAACTGGGAGGGTTAGGAGTTTTAGTTGCATTATGTAATAATTAGAAAATACATATTTTTAACACAGTTAAAATATCACAATATTTGTATTCCGTCCCCCAAAACTATGTTATAGTTAAGGCCTTTGAAATGTAGTGTGGGGGTGAAATTCCCCACGTTTCCTCATTTAGGTTTTTAACTTATCTATT